TATCGGAAGACAAACACACTTGTTTGAAACTATAGGTATACCTAAATAAATTTATTTGTTTCTACATAATAATTTTGTATTAAATTGTACCTATGTGTGTAAATTTAAACTTATACCAAATAATACCATTGATCTATAAAAAATAGTATATTATGTATCAAGTTTAATAAACGCCATTTTATACACAAATTTAATTTAGGCACGAGCGAGCTTGCGAGCGAGTGCTTATATTAATGAGTGTATAGAAAAGTTTATAAACGAGGTGCATACTATACTTTTTCTACGACAAATACTTATTATTATCTTAAAATGATTTAAATCAAAAATTTGTATAGAGCGCCATATATGAAACAATAGGGGAATCTGTGTGTCAAATTTTTATATTATAAAGGTTATAAATCGAAATGTATTTCTTGAAAATTGACAGTTTTTCACAGCGAAAGTAAAGAAAATTTTTTATGAGCACTTTACAGTGGAGTCCGTGCCCGAATTTAAGTTATAGTTTACTGCCGGCGAAATTAAAAGGTCAGTACAATGTTCATATAAACTTTTCAAATATTGGCGTTGAGAAACTATTTAATATTTTTGTAGTGTATTTTTTATTGAGATAATAAAATAATGTTCACATTTAGTATTATTTTACAAGAAAGGCACTTTATTTTAAAGATTGTATGACATTTGACAACTGTCAACTAACTTAAAACTAACTTCAGCCCGTGACTAAAAACCTGTTGCTAACGTCAGCTCGTGACTAAAGCGCCGTAAAGCCACAACTTGTCAATGTGTATTTAAAATGTCACTTATTGTCATGGAAACATGTACGATTAAGGGCGTTTTAAAGGTGGAAGTAGAAAAATATATTTTTTGTTTTTAAAGTATCCCATTTAAACCGAGTATTTATTTTTATTGAGCAATTGTTACTACCAAATATTTTGTACTAAATAAAGTTATATTCGATTTTTCGATAGATTATCTAGTGGCGTAACTAAAAACTTTGGGCCCCCCGCAACTTTCGACTTTGTGATAAAAATTGTGCGCAGTAATTAAAACCTGAAACTGTTTCAGTGAAACATATTATTTGGGGACGTGCTCCGGTTCAGTAATTTTTTTAATAAAAAACACTATGAAATTACGGTTGATTGGTAATCGTAGTACATATGTACAAACTACATGCTTGTCAACTCAATAAAACAATACAAATAAATTTTAATCTCGTTTATTACGCTTATGATTAGGTATGTCTAAATTTGTATTAATCATAAATCATACAAGGGGATTTTACATTATACCTACACACATTAATATAATTATATACAAGAATAAATTCCAAGAAATGTAAGTAAGATATGCCTTGACAAACATATGCCCTATAAAAAATTAATTTTACCAAAATACCAAACAAATTTTTTTTAACAATTAAAAACAATTAAAGTTAAATTGTTAAAATTGTTTTTTAGGTATTTTGATAATATTAATTTACTATACGCTAAAGAAGCATCTCTATTAGCGCCACCACGTGGCCGTTATCATCGTAACAAAACTACAACTTTAATAATCAGCTGTCAAACGCGTATGTTGCAAACGAGAGTTTTTAAGAATAAGGCCGAAAAATGTTAAAAAATCGAGAGAAAAAACGTGGAAAGATTTGTTGTGTTGTTGGGTGTTTTTCAAAAGAAAATCCTGGGTTAAATAATGGAAACCGGAATGAAGAAATAAATTGCATACAGTCCCTGTATATATAAATAAATAATTATTGTACCTATAAGATACAATAAATACATATTTTAATAATGAATTATGTGACAATTGTTAACATTTTAATTCTGTAAAAATCATAAAACAAATAAGTCGTCTAAATTCAAATAGCATTAATAATTTAAAAGCCTTGATTAAGAAAATCTCCACTCAACGGTAATGTACCAAAAAGGGATATTACGTATAAACGGATATATTATGTATATTATGTATTATGTATAATATTATGTTGCCATGAATTCGTAGATATATGTTTTCGTTTACTATTTTAAAATGCAGTTGTCGGCGTTTTTTTGGAGGACCAGAATATAAAAATGTTTTAAGGTTATGTTTGTACAACAATTATTTTTTGTGAGATTTCTTAAAAATGTCTAAACTTAAATATAAATTATATTAGGTACAGTTATCATTTGTTAATTTTGCACCAACAAATGTACGTACCAAATTGAATCCTTTGGCAAAACATGAACATGCAACGATTTAGTTCTTGAATTACATTTAAAATTAAAAACACAATAATTGACCATGATCACTTGGATAAAATACATACGTTAACATATCTATATATCTTATATAATATAGCATATAAGTGTTAAGTTTCTTAATCAATGATAATGAGATGCTAAGGAAGTATCGGGTTTTCCCAACGCGCGCGCCATCTCGTGAATTGCGTGAATTTAAGAATTGCACAGCTAAATCGCGCACGTTATTTGTGTTTTACGTTGCAAGGAAAAAATTAAATAACTTTTTTAGTACTCGATTTCGATTGATTATTCTTTATATCATTGATTAAGAAACTCAACGCTTAAATGCTTATACCTATACTATATAGTTACGTTAGTGTGTGTATTTTATCATGGTGAATTATTGTGTTTTTAACTGTAAATAAAATTCAAGAACTAAATCGTTGCCAAAGGATCCAATTCGGTAAGTAAATTTGTTGGTGCAGAATTAACTAATGATAACTAATATGTATAATTTATATTTAAGTTTGGACATTTTTAAGAAATTAGTAAAAAATTATTTTTGCACAAACATAACCTTAAAATCAACCATTTTTATATTTAAGTTCTCTAAAAAACGCCGACAATAACTATTATGCACGATGACATTATAATATGACAATTATAACAAAAATTCTTTGACGTAAACTTCTCTTCATAGCCCAGCGGGCTATAATGAAACGTCAAAAATTAAAAACAATAGGCGCAAAACTATGAGCTTATTTTATTTTAAATTTATATTATTAATACAGTTATTACAATTAGTCATGTTTATGTTGGGTGGTACAATTTGATTTTGGGTACTATTTGAAACCAAATAATATTTATGCACGATGACATTATAATATGACAATTACAACAAAAATTCTTTGACGTAAACGTCTATACATTTATTTCATCGATTTTTATCAATTTATAATCAGTAAATGGTTTTAAAATGAGAAAAATATTTTTTTTTGTGATACACAGTTTAAATCTAAAATATCTCGAAAACAAGAGCTAACCTAAAAAAGCGACTAGTACCATTGGATTTAGCGTATTCGAATTAGGTAATCCCCCTGGGGGCCCTGCTTGTTAGAAAAAAAAAAGTTTCCGATTCGAGCACAGTGATATTAATTAAAAACACTTAAATATAAAATGTAAGTGTAAAAATGTAAATTTATTTATTTACAATCCAAATAGCTTTTCATCTTTACGCTGCGTTCATCTTCCAAATGTCTTTGACATTTGGAAATTTTTTTATGGAAACTAAATTATATTAATTAAATGTTAACACTGATACATAACATGTTAGTGTACAAATATAATTTTATTTATTGAAAATCCAAATAGCGTGTGATCTTTACGTACCTACTTGATTTAAATATTTGTTTAAAGGAAATTAAACATTTGATGTTTGATACTTAATAAACATTATGCATTAAAGGGTTTCGCATCGACCTGCATCCTGGATTTTTGTCAACCTTGTATCTGCAAAATCTCAATGATAAATGATAACTTACCAAGAATGTATGTTGTTCATTGGGCAAATAATTTTCATCACCACAGCATCTGCACCATGACCTCGACTGGATCCGGTGATCAATCACCATCCCCCTGATTAATTTAAACAACGCTTGTACATTGTACAATCATGCGTGTAGTAGTCGCATCTAATAAGCCCTTGATTTAGCTGGAAAGATTGACTACGTTGTATAATCAATATTAGATTATTCCGAAACCGTATATACTTGGCACTTAATGCTTAATTTATATGCAGCCTATATGTTGCATTAGATCACTTTATTCTCTTTAAAGCCTATTCGCTAGATTATACTTTTAAAGTTTGCTGTGCTTCTGGATTGTTTTCATCCCAAATCCGGTAATTTTGTTTGTTTGCGCCTTTTAACAAAAAATGAGCCACATCGCTAAAAAAAAGTTTGTGGTGAAAATGAGGATCAAAAGCAATCTGGTTTTTGTTCTATTCATAAGCCACATGCCTCTATCTTATCAATAAAGCCATGGTTTTTATGTGGTCTATATTTATAAACGATGTAAACAAATATCAGCGGGAAATTGAAAATTAAAACCAAAACGATTTTTACGACTTATATTTTAATAGTTTATTTACTAAAACTCCGGATCAAATAGGCGAAATCATAAGATCTAACCTAACATTCTAAAATCTAGTGTGGGTTTTATTTTTTGTCATATTTTACATTTATACTTACCTTAAATATTTTTGTTAGGTGCAGGAATTATTAAGGTTTAGCAAATAAAACATTTACTTCTGATATGGATTATTTTATTGTGACTAGATGACTGAAAATGCTCAAACAGTTTACAAACGATATGCACAGAGTATAATTGAAATAGATAGGTACATAAGTTTGTTTTTTGATATCACTATACATTCTATTTAAATATATTACAAATTAGTACTTTAACAATCCATTCATTCGACTCACTGTTTTAATCAATAATTATTAATAATTGTAATCAATTACATTGCACTGTTGCAGCCTTTGTACTTAGAGCCTATAAAAACGGCCCTATACAATCTCATCTAAGGTCTATTTTAAGAAACAACTAAATAAATTTTAGAACTAGAACTAAATAAAAATCTTTGGACAACTTATATTATTTGGCACGATTATAAGGTTTATTTGGTTTAATTTGTACTGTATTAAGAAAATGCATATTTTTTAAAATGTTAAAAAATGCATTTGCTTAGTTGGTAAACAAATTGAGCAAAAATAAAAGAAGGGCATAAGAAGATTTCCACTGAGAGTTTATTAAATTTATTTACACATCTTCTTATACCTTGAGGAAGAATTAAAATTGACAGTATAAAATGTTTGGTATTTTAACTTAATGATGTCTTTCGACTACTTTACAATAGACATCGATCAAACTACTTATTTTATTTACATAACGAACTGTAACAGCCCACACTCAGACCAAATATTGCTACATATTTAACTGTTTGTTTGATCATAATCATATCACACTCGCAGGAAAATATTTGTGATGATCGTAATGATTTTAAACAATAGCAACTTGTATAATTTCTATTTGTATCACTAGTGATTGATTGAACGGCGAATGGCTAAGAACCGCTAGAAAAATATACCAGATTTTTTAATCGTCTTGGTCTTCGTGCTTCAGTTGAACCCCAAGGGGGGCCTCGTGTTCTCAGCCAGGTCTCTCTCCAACCCCTATGCCGCTGCTTGCGTATTGGCAAGCCGAGAGCCCAGCTGACCCCGACCGCACTGGGCTTACACTCGAATATCCTACAAACGGTTGGTGTTGCTTAGCCTTTAATCTTAACTGAGCTATACTTGACGACATGGCAGTGCACGGTTCTGTAGCAGCCCTGTGATGATACATTGTATACGGATTCGTGGGGGTAGTGTATGGGCAAGGTTGCCCGGAAACATTGGAAGTACTAGTCAAGCCGGAACCCATGCCGCCCGGAAGCATTGAAGATGCAGCTCCGGTCATTGACGCTACTGAAGTAGCCGTATTAAAACAATTAACTGGGCTTTGGTGGTGGTTTGAAGGCACCACGGGCCAGAAGGGCTTTCCGCCTAAAGGACTAGGAACTTTGGTAGCCCAGTTGTTGTATGTATAAGACGAGTAGAAGCTGTCGTCAGCGATTGTGGGCATCAGTCCGTTAAATTGAGTGCCGAAGCCGGTTTTGAATTCGGCAGCTGCGTTCATCGCGTTCATCGCGTTTCTTTCGCGTTTCCTCCACTTTGCTCTGCGGTTTTTAAACCACACCTGGAACAAGGAAAATACTTAGTTAGGTGGAAAATTTTACAATGTTTTTACAAAATACAAGAAATATAAAACTAATACAAGAAATATAAAACTAATAGTTATAAATCCGAATTTAGACTCCACGTCATGTTTTTGTGAAATTGTAACCCAAAAGTGAAAAAATGTACTTTAAATTTTAAAGTTTAAAGTAAAAAATGTTTTAAGAATTTTAAAAGGATTTTAAAGAGTACACTATTATAAAAATTAGATTTGATAATTTTTTGTAGAAAACCAGGGTTTTGTAATTATTTGAACAAAGAAAAATATTTTACCGAAAGTTTTGTAAAGGTAATATGCAATTTAGTAAGCATTTTGTTAATTTAAAAGGTTACAGATTATTTTGTTAATGTTTAACAATATATTTCGTTGAAAAAGTGCACGTGATTTCATGCAGTCAATCAAATCATTTCCAACTGACAATACATCAACAAGTTCAACTGACTTAAGCGTCTGTAACTTATGTTTTTGCTTACTTTATTCTAATTCATAAGGTGTTCGTAACAACTAATATATTACCAAAAACCTGTTATTATCATTATTTGGATTACTTATACCTTATATATTTAACGAGTGTGTGAAGTGGGAAGTATTCGAAAAAACATGCCATCATTGGTTTTCAAACTGAAATTAGGGGATACAGTGAAGTGGGTTAGAGTTACGAAATACAATAGTAAGTGTTAACTGATAATTATATTGTACCAAATTTCTTTATAATTTGATGATTTCAGAAAGGTGTATTATTTAATTGTGTGTATGGTATTTTTGTGTTCATTTATATAGGTATGTGTTAATTTTTGTTTAGGAAATATCTTAATTTATTGATGTAGGATTTTGTTATTAAATCTACAAAATTATAATTACAAACTACCTATTCAATTAGCAATTAGCTATTAGTTACCAGATTACAGTTGGTTGTAAACTTAACCTACAGTTATGTGGACCTGAATTAACATAAAATCTGGTTAAAAGTTGGTTAACATTAACAAATATTTTTACTGTGTTTACTATAAGTTTATTTCTGTTTAAGTTTTATTTTGTTAAAAAATGGATTTTAGAGAATTAAAAAATGCTTAATCACCTCGTAATATTGAATCTAGCGATGATTATTCATTGTTTAAATTCATTAAACGAAAGTCTAATGGGGCAAGTAAAATAAATGGATAATAAATGTCATCTCCAACAAAAAAATGAATTGATAATAAATTATCAATTCGCAACCAATTAAGGCCACCATCCCCTGACACATTAGTAACGTTACAAAAATTTTGTCATTTTTTAAAACGAGAAAATAAATGACGGTAGGTAAGTTCTTTGTTTCAAAGCTGTATGAATCTCAAGCATTTCCTAAATTGGTCCCTGTATAAAAAGAGCCGTCATCTTCTATTACGTTCGTCTTCCATCTGCAACGTGGGGGGATGCTCCTGCTTTTCCCCGTGTTCCCCCGCCCCCAGAGGGCGCCCGTGGCCAACGACCCATCTAATTGCGGCAACGGAATGAAGATCGACGAGCGGCGCTATTGGTCGCGACGCCCAACAACATAAGGGGAAAGCGTCGGAACGCGTCAATGATTCACGATCATTTCTCTTATTTCGGCATTTGCACCGCAAAAACGTTTTGCACCAAAACTGTTGTTACTTTGTTTAATTATTATTAGGCTTGGTTAGTTATGTTTTAGATTATTTCGACTTTTTCAAATAAAGGTTTAAGTTTGGTTTAAGATTATAGGTATATGTTAATGAAAGAAAGCACATTATATCAAATATAAAGAAAGGATTATGAATTAAGAAATAATGCTCAAAATACTTCAGAAGAAATAATGTTCGACATTGACGCTCTCCAAAATCTTCAACTTACAAATTTATAAGAGTCTCCGTAATGTGTATTAGCTTTTTCGAAGGCGATTTTAAGTTTAGTCAATCTTTTTAGTTTTTGCGTCACTGTAATAAAAAAACGAAACGTTTTTAAAGTGAAACTTCTTTACGCACGGTAGGGCAACTTGCTACGGAACGATCTATGATGAAACGTAACTTTACGGAACGAATCGCTGTAACGCAAGCCAAATTGTGATCTTTATTATTTATGGCCGTGAAAGTTTTTTCGCAAACTTGACTACCTACACTCACAGACAAAATAATCGATCCACACAAATTTTCGATGAATTTCAATCGCAAATAACTTTTTTATTTGATGTCGGATTTAAACGAATATTAAAGAATATTGTAGATAAATTAATGGACAATCGCTCACATTTTAAAAAATTACTAAAAAATAGACTTACGTTTATAATATACAGGTTTAAACAAAAATATGTCTTTTACCATAAGTTTAAGACACTATGTAGAGTGGCAAAAGCGTATATTGTTCTAAATTAAGTTTTATTTATCAAGTCACATCTATTCTTAACAGTTTTGTTTTTGGTTCACCTCGATATATTTATTTTTGTGGAAAATACGGATTTTTTAAAAAAACATTGCAATTTCCAATATTTTTCTGTATGAAGAACTAAGGTTGCTATGGTCCATCCATAGCCTATGGAGAATGACAGTGACAGTTTTGTTGAATCATCCCATACTTGGACATGTCATACACGGCTTTCAAAAGCTATCAAATTGTTTTTTGCATATTAATGTTTAAATCTTGAGGTGTCTTCTTACTTTAAAAAATGGATATGTCTCCGACTGATGTTGCCAGAGCCATTAATTTAATCCAGAATGGACGGTCACAGTATTACGTGGCAAGTGTTTTAAACGTCACAAGAAGTAAAGTACAAAGGGCAACATCAGTCGTAGACATTTTTAAAAGTAAGAAGACACCTCAAAATTAACACATTAATTTACAAAAAACAATTTGATAGCTTTTGAAATCTGTATATGACATGTCCCAGTATGGGATGATTCAACAAAACTGTCACTGTCATCCTCCATAAGCTATGGATGGACCATAGCAACCTTAGTTCTTCATACAGGAAAAATATTGGAAATTGCAATGTTTTTTTTAGAAAATCCATGTTTTCCACAAAAATAAATATATCGAGGTGAACCAAAAACAAAACTGTTAAAAATAGATGTGACTTGATAATTAAAACTTAATTTAGAACAATATACGGTTTTGCCACTCTACAGTGTCTTAAACTTATGGTATTTAGTATTGACGAAAACTGATATCGCAACCTAAAATTTGAGGAAATTACGTTAAAATAGCTAAATCTACCAGGATACAGTTAAAATATCTTTATATTATATTAGAATAGTTGTACTCAGGTAATTTGCATCAGCAGAATATACTTCATAGTTTTTGGTGTATCAGTCTGGTATCTAAAATGTTATGACCACTTTGACATTTTAAAGTGGATTATGATACACTTAAGTATTTCTTGGAAGTGGTAGTAGTAGTAAAGTTGGTATACCAGTTTTGGAAAATTTTTTGGAACTATTCCCAAACCTTGAATGTGGCAGAACTTGATTATAAAATTGCGGTGGTCATTGCCACGTTCTTGCTACATGCTTAAGTGATTTCCACGTTTCGCATAGTATTACCACTTTAAAGTTCCCTTCCTCAAAAGCAGGCATGTTTACTAATAGTCGCAATTGCAATTGCAATACATGTATGAAAATAAATGTGTATTTTTAAACAATTAATTCCAGTTAGTACCTACACCACCAAATTTAACACATAATTATTGGTTTCAGGTTACCAGAAATAATAAATAAATTATTTTAGGCCTCTAGATAAATAACTTTAGATCCGCTAACTTTAAAAAAATTTTTATTACCACATATTTCAACGGGGTGTGCTTTTATTTCGAGCTATGACATCCATGTTTGTCAGAAAAATTGAACTTTTGTTAATTTTATGTCTTCGGATTATTTTCATTCTAGTTGTGTAAGTTTAATATCCAGTTTTAGAGAAAGCAAAAAGAATAAGATAAATAAAATGCTGGAAAGAGAATAGAAAGACGATAGAAAGTAAAAAGAAGTAAAGTTTTGCTTAAGTTTTCTCCACTATACCTTCACGTTATAGTAACGTAATCACAATGTGGTATAAACGTGTCTGTATACAATCCAAGACCGTGGTTGGGACGTTACTGGCACTAAAAAACTGTTCCCCATTTTAGTAACTTTCTCGTTATAGAACAATTTGTACCACGTGGCCGATACGATTCATCCACTAAAAATGCTACTTGGAGGACTATGAAAGACTATTTCTATTTATTTTTTGCAGTTGAATTCGACTTTATATTCAAGTTATTTTTTTACATAAAGCGAAAATAACCGAACAAGATAAAAATATGTTTTTTGAGTTTAAGTTGAGTTCTCAATCCCTAGGATTTTTATTTTTTTAATTTTTATTTTTTGTGAATGTCACCCTTTTTCTGGTATGATTGTGAATGCTCCAGAGAAGTTTTACTTCCATAGTATGTTGAATCTTGAAGCTCCTTCTTTTAAATTTATTCATATTAAATATAATTTTATCAAAAAATTATTTTTATTAAACTAACTAAACTAACTAAAAATCAATATAATAAAATAAAGAAGGTACATTAAAAAATGTAATCCTAAATCTGGGACCGGCATTGTCCGAAGCGAATCAAGAATAATCAGAGGGTGGCTCGACAATAATCATTATAGTTGGTATGTGATTGAACGGTCAAGCGTATTTAGCCAATGAGCCGTGCTTAACGGAATATAAATTAAGATATTTATCATGCCAAATTCTGAATCTCAAGTGATTTATAACTTTTTGCCGGGAATCAGCAATTTAACGCCAAATGTCTCATTACAGTATGTAACGCTAAATAAAAAAAAAAGTAGTTTTAGGTCGTGATGTTTCACTGCTGTAAGTAAACCCTTTAGATAAAAAACTCTGTTATCAATTTATAAATAAAAAGTTTTTTGTTAATTTCCACAGATGTATATTTGTTTAAATAGGTACTCGAAGCGTCGGCTTTTACCAAAGAATGT